CGGCTGAATTCGGGAAGCTGGGGGCAGAGCAGCTCCAATGGTCTGGCTGCCCAGAGTACTTCCGTGTTCCCGATGGTGCCGGACCATCAGGAGTGCCGGACCATCAGATGCCGGACCATCAGAGTTTTACTGTATTTGGGATGATGACCTATATCCCCTCTAAGATTTTTCCATCTGTGAGCGGAGTGATCTTTTTTGGATGTGGGCCACAGTAGCACCTAGGGATGTAAGTGACTAGTCAACTATTTGATAAGCAAAAGTTTATCAGATAGTTGACTAATCCCTCAACTAGTCACTTCCCTTCCCCCCCATCCCTCTTGCTGCTTCTATCAGGGGCAGCAAGGGTTGGGAGCGGGAGAGGAGCAGAAGCCAGTGCTGGGGAAGGCTGGCTTAAAAACTGGTTTTCCCCCCCCCCCTCCCCCCGCACTATGTCTGCAGGGAAAAGAGGGCATAGTGGGACTGGGTGCAATCTGGGAATCAGCAGATCTCTGGCTTGTGCCTAATCCCAGAGCATTTAAGAGCTGGCAGGCTCTTAATACATTTAAAAGGCTGAAGCACAGCAAGGAAGAGCAGCGCGAACTGGGACAGCTGATTCCTGGCTCACTCCAGGTCCCCTGCTGCACTCCAGCCTTTCTACATTTAAGGCTGATACACTGTGTGTGTGTGTGGGGGGGGGACCCTTGTGCCAGGTCCCCCCTGCTGTGCTTCAACCTTTTAATGTATTAAGAGCCTGCTGTCTTTTAAAGGCAGAGCTGCACCGGGGTTAGCTCCAGGGCTGGAAGCTAATGCTCCTGTGGCTCCCCTGTTTATTGACTAATCAACGGGAAGTAAATTGGCTAGTCGATTAGTTAAACTAAATTCCCCTTTTCCCTTCTGCACAGTGCCCTCTTCATCCCAACCCCTACGTTTTCCTCCTAGTTGTGCTCCCAACCCCCATGCTGTTCTTCCAGCACGTCCTGCCATTCTGCGCCTCCCCCCCCCCCCCCTCTACCCCGGATTTCCTCCTCTCCCTTTGCCCAGAAACACCCATACCCTGTTGCCCCTTGCCCTCTGGCTGTGGCACCCTAGGCGTGAGCTAAGTTTGCCCAGCCTTAAGGCTGGCCCTGTGATAGGGCAGCTGATCTCCATGTGGCCCTGGCTGCTGGCGGGCGGCCGCGCGCTGCCCACCACGTAATGTCTCAGGCTTAGGACCTGGCTGCTGGAGCTGCCGTCGCTGCTACCGCTTCACACATGACTGCTTGGGCACTGGAACTGCCTCTGCAGCTGCCACCGCTGCCCACCATGTTGGGAAGGGCTGAAGATAGGACCAGGTGCATATGGGGGCTGTCTAGCTGCTCCTGGGGCAGGGCAGTTGGCCCACACGTGGCCCTGCTCCAGAGCAGCCACTTCATGGCCCTGCTGAGGAGTTGGTTGGGCCTCAAATTCTTGGTGCTCGCCCACCTTATAGGGAACCATGATGATGTCTAACAAATGTTAATTATATCTTAAATTGTTGAGAGATTCTATAAGACAAACTATCTAACTTGTTTTGAGGCTAAATCCCCATGTTTGTGGATGTGGAAGAAAAATATGGGGTTTGAGTAACGTAGCAGTCTTGTTTGTATCATTACTGATAGCTTTTCTTGAGTGCTTTAAGTGGAACGTTACTGCTATATAATGTGTTACTTGTGAATCTTTTTTCTTAAGCCAGGAAGGGGAAAAGACTTTAGCTCTCAGAGCAGAATTGGAGCTTAACAGGGCTGTGGTAGAAGAAAAATGGAGTGAGTGGTGAGGGGGCTGTCTGGATGTTTTATGTTAAGGAATATAGATATCAGTGTCTTATTAGCATAAGATATGGCAAGAGGGTTGACTTATAGTTACTGTGGAAATAATAAAGGAATTTTCTAATGGGTGTTTGAATGCTCAGTTACTCTGTTAGGGTATGTCTACACTACCACCCTAGTTCGAACTAGGAGTTGCAAATGAAGCCCGGGATTTGAATTTCCTGGGCTTCATTTGCATATAGCTGGGCGCCGCCATTTTTAAATGTCCGCTAGTTCGGACTCGGTGCCCGCGGCTACACGCGGCACGAACTAGGTAGTTCGGATTAGGCTTCCTATTCCGAACTACCGTTACAGTACCATAACGGTACCGTTACTGTAACGGTAGTTCGGAATAGGAAGCCTAATCCGAACTACCTAGTTCGTGCCGCGTGTAGCCGCGGGCACCGAGTCCGAACTAGCGGACATTTAAAAATGGCGGCGCCCAGCAATATGCAAATGAATATGAAATCCCAGGCTTCATTTGCAACTCCAGTTGCCTACATTAACCAACCTAGTTCGAACTAGGGTGGTAGTGTAGACATACCCTTAGGGTTTTTAACACTAAGCACCATAATGAGAGTTTGAGGTATTGAATTGCTGGATGTAATTTGTAGAAATGTGTTTGATAGTGAAATACCAATTCCTGCTTTTTGTTTTGTTTTTTTTAGGTTCTGGCAGAAAAAGTTCACATGAGAGCTTTGTCCATAGCTCAGAGAGTAAAACTTTTGCAGCAAGGACTTAATGACAGATCTGGTGAGAGAACTATTTGAATTTGTATGTGTTTGGGCTTAGAGTATCAGTTCCTTAAATGTTATTTTTTTCAGGAGTTTAAAAATACTCTAAAAGAAAATGTGGAAGATACTTCTATAAATATAATATGATGGCAGAACGTTAGTGTTTAGGTACATAATAGTTCAGCTAGGTAATAGAGGATTGTAGGTAGTCATAGTGTGTGTGTGTGTGTGTGTGTGTGTGTGTGTGTGTGTGTGTAAAATGTGAACAGTTTAATGCAAGGTTAGTATTTTTTAAAACATTTTTAACTAGATTTAAAGTTGCCAGGTATCCAGTTTTCGACTAGAGTGCCCATCAGAAATGCCCAGCACTGCTGATTGAGCTGTGAAAGTCTACTTGTGGCACAGGCAGGCTCCCTGCTCAACTCCATGCAGCTCCCAGAAGTGACAACATGTCCCTCTGGCTCTTAGGGGTAGGGCGGCATGATGAAGGCACTGCATGTTGCCTCTGCCCTGCTCTGAGAGTAGATACCACAACTCTCATTGGCCTGGAGTGTGGCCAGTGGGAACTGCATCTGCAGTACCTGCAGCTAGGGGCAGTGTGCAGAATCACCTGGCTATGCCTGCAGCTAGGAATCAGAGGGACATGTTGCTGCTTTCAGGGGTTGCCTGAGGTCGCACTGGCTAGAGCTCAAGCCCCTCTTGTGCCCCAACACCCTGTCCCTGTCTTGAGTATCCTCCTGCATCAAAAGCCACAGCCCGCAACCCTCTCCTGAACTCAGGGCTTCAAGCAGTTCAATCCTACACCCCAAAACACTCATCGCTGGCCCCAACCCAGGGCCTGCACCTCCAGCCCCTGCCATACCATGGTGAAAATGAACAAGTGGGTAAGGATGGGGGAACATGAGTGAAGAAGGGATGGGGTAAGGGAGTGAGTGGGGGGGTTCAGAGAGGAAGATGGGGCAATGGTACTCTGTTTTCTGAAAATAGTAAAACTGGCATCTCTAGTTCAGCTAGATGTATTGAGCAAAGTAATCTTGGCCCATAACTTAGCCCAAACATCTACATAGGGTAACTAGAGTTGGTACCAAATTCAATAGACCAGTTCAGTTCTTGTTTATCTAGCTGAAGATAGGACTTCTCAGTCCTTCCTATTTGGAAAATGTTGGCTACGTACCACAAGTAGGACTGTATGGACACAGATTAAAAATGAAGTTACTTCTTTGTAATTGTGCTTCTTCAAGCTGTTCTGTTCATGTCTGAGTATTTCTCTATCCTCATTATTGTGGAGTACATATTTTTTTTTAAATTTCAGAATGAGGGAATATATGAGAGGTTGGAGCTGCTCTGCTGTACATGGTCTCGCATGTGGGAGAGAGTGCACAACATGAAGAATATAAACATGGCCAATAGAACACTGCTGGCCAAAATATTGTAATCTCACACACACATGCAGCTTGTGCACTAGTGGGGCCGTCCACATAGACAAAACATCTAGAACAGGGCTACTCAGGTGGCCCGTGGTGTCTTGAGTGTCTTCCCGGGCTACCTGCTTGCCTCATCGCTGGGGCTCTAGCGGCAGCACTGAACTGCGAGCCGAGCGGCTTTGAGACAAGCTGCCTTTTGGCAGCAAAAGGCAGTGGCAGAGTATGCCTGCCACATCTGCCACAGCGGCAGTGCCTCCCCGCAAGCGGAGCCGCATATTGCGGCACTGAGACAGGCCACATTGGTGCATGTGTGGGAGCTGTCGGCTGGCGGGTAGGAGGTGGGAGGCAAAAGGCAGCAGCAGGGCATGCCTGCCGGGTCTGCCACAGCAGCAGTACCTCCAGGGGCAGCAGGGGAGCTGGGCAGTGAGGCACATGGCAAAGCAGTGGCAGAGCTGGGCAGCAAGAGCGAGGTGGTGGTGGAGCCAGGCAGCAAGGCCAGGGTGAGAGAGCTGCGATGGAGCTTGGGTAGGGTTACCGTACATCCATTTTTTTGCTGCATATGTTATTCTTTTTACATGTTAAATCGCCATCCAGACAAGTTTTTTAAAAGGCAAAAAATAACTGGGATTTTTTTTCCCTGCAAAGGAGATGGCGAGAGAGGGGACGGCACGTGCCTTCAATGGAACGTTCAGAGCTGCGTGCCAGAACTGTTCGCAGCTGCTCTGCAAACTGGCCCCAGTACCTGGAGGGAAAAGGGTGTGGCTCCAGTGAGACCCAGGGCATTACTCACTGCTATGCTAGATTTTATGTCCCCAGCTCTGTGGGAGGGAAAGTGCATTGAGTTAGAGCAGGGAGACGGGGGGTGCCTGGCTTTGCGGGAGGGGAGGGGTACTGGATTTTAGAGCAGAGAACTGGGCATTAAAACGTCTGACTCCTTTCCATTCCTGTAGGTGGGCAGTGAGTATGTTGGTTAGATTTGGGGGTTCCAGTCTCAGCTCTTTGAGGACTGTGGGAGCTGGTGGTTGGTGGGGTTGGCAGGGGAAAGGAAGGGATTCTGGGAAGCAGGATTCCTGAGTTCCTTTTCTAGCCATGCTACTTCTCCCCTCGGTGCCTTTAATGTCACATTGATTGTACTTGTATTTCAGTAAATATTGTATTGGCAGTTTTTGTTTGATTTGTTAAATTGTGAAGCCAAAACAAAAAAGTATAATGGTCTTCTGTTGATATGTGTTTTAGTAGTTAAATTGCTGAACTGTCATTGCTCATTAAAAGTACTGTCATATGGGTGGAAATCTGGTAAATATTGCATATTATTATCAGCAGAACTGACTGAAGTGTTGTGAAGGGGCCTGTGTGTTGTGTAGTCTTTCTTTAATTTTTGTATTCATATCTGTCATTATGAAAGCTATTTGCATAAATATTTGCATATATTTGATCTAGAAAGACCACAGTTCTCATAATAAACATAAGAATTGCCAAACTGGATCAGACCAAGGGTCCATTTAGCTCAGTATCTTGCTGACAGGGGCTGGCACCGGGTATTTCAGATGGAAAGAATGGAATAGGGCAGTTAATAGAGTTAATTGATCTGTCTAATCCTAGCTTTTGGCAGTCAGAGGGTTTGGAGCATCCGGATCCTGTGGTAATACCCCTGATCATCATGACTAGTAATCATTGATGGACCTGTCTGCTGTTCCTTACAGTAACGTGAATAGCTGCTCTTCTACTAGCATAACGTCCATTTTGGTTCCTTGTCTTCATGTATCCAAAAGTATGTGAGAAATGTACTTAATCTTGTGAATATAGATTGAATTCTTCTGTGAATAGATGCTGTTAAGGAGGTAGTGCAGAAGAAACTTCTTCAAGCCTGGTTACGGTTGACCGAGGGGGATGTTTTAGAATTGCTTCATCGGTTGGATGTAGAAAACTGCCCTGAAGTGGCTGCCCTCGTGCTTAATGCAATGTTTTCGATATCTCCACTTAATGACTTAGTTCAAAACTGCAAAAACCTTGATAACAGGTATGTAAATCAACTCTTTGTTAACATTAACATTTTTTGGTCAACTTTCAGTATGGGATTTTGTTTTTTTGGGGTCTTTTTAATGGCAAAGGAGAAACTGTTATGTGCTGGGAAGTGAACTCAATGGATATCATAGTGATTATTATGTGCTTAGCTATCTTTAATGTCTGTCGTGGTGTGGTGTGGTTTTTTTTTTTTTTTTTGCTATTTGGATGGGCCAATTTCACAATGTTTTAAAACATTTGAGTTAAATCATCTAGGAGAATTTCAACAGAGAAATATTAGTGATAATTAGAAAATGTCTAAGAACATGTTAGTAGGGGCTCAAAAAGCTACATGCCTGCTGGTGACATGCCTGCTGGTGACAGAGGTTCCTACGTTGGTTAACAAAACAGCTTAGGTTTGAGGGGAAGTTCAAGCAACAGTACAAAATAATATAGAGCAAAAAAGAAAAAAGGGGAAGTTGACAGCAACATATATATAGAAACTAGAAATCTTAGAAAATTGATAAGGGAAGCAAAAGATTACATGGCGACCTATAGCCAGTAAAGTAGGGGTAGGGAACTTCAGGCCCAGGACCAGAAGCAATCCCTCGTTTGCTTGGATCTGGCCCCTGATGCTCAGGACCCCCTCTAGCACTGGGGAGCCCATGCTGGTGCTTCAGCCCCTCCTGCTACCCCACCGTAGGGCTGGAGCAAACAAAATCTACTAGTCTGGGCCTCCCAGGCTCTTCTGTGTGAGAGGTAGGTGGGGAATGTCTGTCTTCTTCTCACCTGGGACCACCGTAAGCATTTTTTTTGTGGGGTTTTTTTACTTCTCACTTGTGTGTGGCCCTCAACTGATTTTTCTGTACGTCAGTGGCCCCCGTCCCAAAAAAGGTTATAATAAAGTTAAGAACTATTTAATAAAAATAAAAAACCCCAAAACACTGCCTTAAAATATATTGGGAACAAAAGGATCCTTAATTATGGTAATTCTCCATTATTCAATGGAAATGACAGAATTGTCAATAGTTCAGAAAAGTTAGGCTGAATCTCTGCTTGTTATGCTGGCGATCAATCTTCTGGCATTCGATACAGCGGGCCTTATAATGACTGTCACGCACCACTTCCCTATCGGCATGCACAGAGCAAAATTCATTCTGCACATTGGTGGAGAAAATCAGAGGGAACTCTGATTCACTGGTTACATTTGCAAATATTATTAAAAAGTGGAAATGGTAAATAATGAAGAGGACAAATCACAAGGGGCTGGGCTGCCGTGGACAGAGGTTGCTTCATGGCAGTCTCTTTTGTACTCTGCAGCCTCTGTCCACAGGGAGCTCAGACCCCTGTGGACAGGGGTTGCTGCCACTCTGCACTTCTGCCTCCGTGTGAGAGGTAGCAGCGCAGGGCGGCAGGCAGCCAGCCAGCCAGCTGGTCTGCGAGGGGAGCTGGTTTTTAAACTGGCTCCTCTCACAGACTGGTTCCCACCTGGCATGCCGCACTGCTCCCTTTGATACAGAGGCAGCAGTGTGGAGTGGCAGGGGGCTCCATGGGAGTGGTGCTAGATTGCACTGGCTGCCGGCCCCACCCTCAGGGACTATAGAATAATTGACTGATTGCTGAGAATTCATGCAATTTGTTGACTATTACAGGCAGTCCCCGGGTTACGTACAAGATAGGGACTGTAGGTTTGTTCTTAAGTTGAATTTGTATGTAAGTCGGAACTGGTACATATTGTAGGGGAAACTCTAGCCAAACATTTCTCCAGAGCTCAGTTTTATTCTCCCACACCTCGCTTCCCTCTGTCCTTTATTCTCAAGCTGAGGTGTCTGCTGAGAAAAGCCGCTCTGCGTCTCCCTGGTCTGCTGGGGGGGGTGCTAGCTTCGCGTCTCCCTGGTCTGCTGGGGGGAAGCAGGTAGTGTGGGGTTGCCTCACCCCGTTTGTAAGTAGGGATCTGATGTAAGTCGGATCCATGTAACCCGGGGACTGCCTATATATTATTTACTATCTGACATCCCTAACACCTACTGCTTTTATATCTGTTGTTCTGCCGGGGTGTGGTGCTGCTTTGAGTCGGTGTGTCCTGGTTCATGTGAGGTTGCTTCTGGAGATGAGTGTGGGGGGCGGGGTCATTACTTGAAGGCCAGAATGTGTGTGTGATTCAGGAAAGATGTCTGCATCCTAAAAGAAACATCTCTACCGCAACAATTGTCAGCACCCTCTATAACAGTGGTTCCCAAACTTTTTAATGCCACAGACTGGCAAACCCATTCACAAACTTTTAGCAGACCAGTAACATTTTTATTTGTATAAACCAAGCCCCCAGAGCTGCTGTGAATAACCCTTCTCTCTTCCCTTCCCATCAGCCAGGGAAGTCCTGTGCATGTCCCTATCCAACACACACATGCCACCCACATGTTTGTCTCCCATCCCAAACCACATTGAAGGAACTGTGAGCTCGTTGCGTGGCAGGAATGGGAGATGGTAGAAGGAGAGGGATGAATTGGTGTTTTCAAACCTCTCATTGAATCAAACTGGGAGCCAAACACTCAGAAGTTTCACTGTGAAAAGAACCACTTCTACAAGAGGCATAGAGCTCTTATTGGTGATGCTTTTGCAGTGATGTGGAAGTGAAGATACGTTCCAACTCTATACAATGCTTTTGGCCTTCACAGTGCCTAGGTGACTACTCAAGCCAGTATGTCTGCTGCTCTGATTCCAGCTAAACAGACAGCCATCCCTCCCTCTGTAAAGCCCTGGGAACTTTGAAACTCCCCTTTCTATTTCTTTTGGCATGTGCTCCCTTATAATTTGACCAAGTGACAATGGTTGCTCCACAGAAAAAGGGATCCCTTGCTTGCAGTAATGCTGATGTATTCTTTGGGTATAGAGGGCTGTGTAGGGACCTAGGATGTTCGGAGATCACCCCAACTCCCTTCCCATGAGAGCTGCACTGTGGGATATCTGTCCTCAGGATGCTTTAATCAGAGATGGAAGTGCTTCAAATGTAAACACTCTGATGCCTGTGTAAGTAAATGAATACACAAATCAGTGCTTTTCTTTTACCAGTTCCCTACCACTGGTAAAGCTGACAGTGGGAAAAACTTCAAGTGTAGACACAGCCTAAAAATCTTGGACTGAATAGACACTGGGTTTATGGCTTATTACAACAATCTATAACCCACTATTTATTTTTAGAAAATTGATTCCACTGGAAGATCTAACGGCTGAAAGCGCTTTATATTGGCGATCCCTTTGCGAGTATCTAAACTCAAAAGGGGAAGAAGGTGAAGCTTTTATGGAGAAGATTTTGCCAGAACCTGCCATATATGCTGATTATCTGTTAAGGTAGATATATTTAATTATTGCTAATATAGGAAAAGCTGTTGAATATTTCTTAGGTCTAGTCTATACTACAGAGTTATGTCAACATAAGGCAGCTAACTGTAAGTGTTCTCACGAATATGTAACTCCCACTCCATCAACTTAACTCCACTTCCACAGGAGGTGTAGTGGTTTGGGAGGTACAGTGGTTTGGGCCTATGTAGTTAGGACAGCCCAATGACTGTGTAGACCAAGAGTGGGGAATTGTTTTTGGATCAGGGGCTACTGCCTCAGAAAAATCAGTCAGGGGTTGCACACAAGTGAAAAGCCAAAAAAAACCCAAACCACTAAACCCCTCACTGATGAGGCCCCCAGCTGAGAAGGAGAAAGAGACGCCCCACATTCCCGTCCCACACCAGAGCATAGGGGGCCCCAGCCTAGTAGATTTTGTGTGCTATAGGCCTATGATAGGGCAGCAGGAGGGCTGGAGTGCCAGCACAGGTTCTCCAGTGCTTGGGGTGGGGGGTGCTGAGCCTTTAGGGCTGGATCTAGGTAAGCTGGGACTGCATTTGGCCTCTGGGCTTGAGGTTCCCCACCCTCTGATGTAGACACATTACTTATATTGCCTGTTGGCTGTCAGCCCCATTTGCAGGGCTCGCAGCTGGAGCCCTCCTGCGCTGGGGCTGACAGCCCCATATAGTGGGGGTCTCCGGCTGTGAGCTCTGTTGCCAAGGTCTGACAGCTCCAGCTGTCTGCCTCAGGATGGGGGTGGGGCTTAGGGATGTGACTGACTAGTTGCTTTGCCCCCCGCTACCTCTTTCAGAAAGAGGCAGCAGGTGGGGGAGAGAGGTGGGAGTACTTTCAGGCGGCAGCACCGCATGGAGCTTGGGGCCAGACCCCAGGTTCCATGCAGCACTGTCGCTTGCAACGCTGCATGCAACTCGGGGTCAGCTGGGGTATCCCCAGGCTGCCCACGACATTTCAAAGCAGTAGTGCCTTGTGGAGCCCAGTATCAGCAGGGGACTCCTGCTGACCCCCCGGCTCCATGCGGCACTGTCGCTTTCAAAAGCCACGTGTAGCCTGATGCAGGTCTCTTCTCAATATTTCGAGTGGCACTGCCACGCTGACCCCGGGCTTCACGTGGCTCTGCTGTTTTGAAATGCCACAGAGAGCCTGACGCCGGGCTCCCCACAGCGTTTCAAAGTGCCAGTGCCATGTGAAGCCTAAGGCTGTTGCTACACTTCACAGGCAAAATAACCACATCTTAACAGCGTCTGTTTCGAAATAGCGCCATAATGCAAATATGCAAATGAAGCACGGGATGTTTAAATCCCAGCTTCATTTGCAATTTTGAATGTCTTCATTTGCATCCCTCTCGTGAAAGAGGGTACAAGACATACACCGAGAGTGTGTGTTAGGTCTCAAAACACTGATTGAAATCTAAAACACAGATTGAGACCTAAAAATGATTTAGGTCTCAAAGCGGTACCTTCAAAAAATTTCACCTAGAACTTAGCAGCTGGTACAGATCATGGAGCACAGGTGCTTTTTGCCTCCACAATGCTGTGGAACTGAGCTCCCTAAAGCCTGGGGGAGAGAGCAAAGCACGGGCAGGGCCAGGGCTTGCTTTAGGGGCTGCTTAGGCCCTCACCTCCTACCCCCCAGCTATTATCCACTGCCCATGCTATTGCATGTAAAATCTGTTATGGATATTTTTACAAATATAACTTTAATTTGTACTTTATTGCCCTTATCTGTGCTGTAGCGGTCACTTGTGAAAGGCTGTAACTGAATTATCCCCAACTGAAACCTGGGGAATGACTTGAATACAAAGCTGCAAACAATTTAAACAATTTTTATATTCCTCTTTTTGTAATTTTTCAAGTAATAGAAAATCTTTTAACTGAATCACAATTTCTTCAGAATTATTTTCATTGCTATGGTGGTTCTACAGGCTAAAAATTAATTATTCTTGATATTTTTCACAGTTTTTGTAAGTGTTTTGAGGGGGGGAAATGGTTAAGACATTTTGAGTATGAGTGTGTGTACTGGTGGATGGAGAAACACCCCATTACAAAGAAATCCTTGCAGTCGTTTTCTTTAGGACAGCTAGCACTGAAATTATTAGACTTAGGAAGTTTAAAAATTTAGTATCTGTCATAAAAATAATCTTTAGTGAATAATGCTGGACTGTTCTGGAGATTTGAGTATGTTGTTGAAAATCACTCTTTGTGATGTATGCTGTGCATGCATGTCAAGTTTTTTTGTGAAGCTAAAGAATGCTCCACAGAACATGAATGCATAGTCAAGGAATAAAAATGGAGGGATATATTGGCTCCAAAAAGTCACAAAATGATCAAGGACACATTTCTGTGGATATGGACTATCCTTAAGTCATCTTCTTTGCCAGCAAACTTTGTGGTGTTGTGTGATATTTAGTCTGACATGTTATGTTAGAATGGCTTACTTGGTATTTCTCATATAAACTTTCTTAGAATTTGTACATCTGATGCGCAGTATTCAAAGCTTTAATTATACTAAATCTTTCTTTAATTGCTCATTTGAGAAATGTTTCATGTGGTTTTTAAAGATGTTTGTCTACACACAAGGCAGACTTAAGCTTGCATAAATAAAATAAAGTTGGCCATTTTCTGACTTTTATATTGAGTTTTATACATGGGAATTTTTGTGTGGCTTTCAAACATTTAAGCTACTTTATTTGCATGTTTTATAAATGTTTGTCCAGAATTGTATACATTTTAAAAAAATGCATGAACACTGAATTTCATGTTTTATTGTTAATGTATTGTGGTAATAAAAGATGTAACCTTTAGTTACACAGATGTAGGAAGGAACACTTTTGTGTTTTGGCAACAAAGTTGCTACATTTAATGATGACTGTTCTTTGTGTTCAGTTACCTTCAGAACATGCCAGTTCTGAGTGAGGAACAAAGGGAAGATTTTTCCTGCATTGAAAACTTGATGACAAAAGAATTTATAGGTCAGCAGTTGATTCTTATTGTTGGCTGCATGGATACCAGTGAAGAGGGAGGAAGGTAAGCTTTGTAAAATTATATGCACGTACAGGTTTGTTTGGCCTTACTATGGAAAGGTTTGACTTTTTCTATGGAAACTACTTGCTTGCATCCAAAATGTACTTCTGAAGAAAACCATGTCAAACAGTCAAAATATTATACTTCTGTGCTGATTGCAAAAATGACCTCACCCTTCTTTAGGATTGTTTCTGAGTATATTCAGAGTACTATCAGCATACTGTAGTGGAACAATACATATTCAAGTCTTCAGTTATTAATTCAGACTTGATATAACTATGGGAGCATGAATTCATTTATTTTCTATTCTAACTTGCTCATAATCTCAAAAATTGTTAATTAAGTACCAAGTGAACAGCCTCTTCATGAGTTGTGATTTCAGAAACAAAAAAGTATAGATTTTATTTTTGACTTCAAGACAATTATTTTGATTCATTAAAACTGTCTTTTTACTTGCAACATGACTAAACTTGACATGTTAGTAGTTGAGCAAGTATAAGTTTGAAAACCCACAACGCCACATTTACTGATCCTTTTTCCAAATATAACTTAACTTGCAATATTAATTATGATATGTTTTGGTCTACTGCATTGTGCAGGCATTGTGAAGGAATAACATTCTCGTATGCTATCGAACTAGTTAAAACATTTTGCATCTGGAAATATGAGCGTTTTTAATTGAAGAACTTAAATAGAAGTTTTCTTTCTAATTTATAAATACTTTTTCTTATCCTCACTTTTATTTAGGTAATGGGTCACACTTAATAGAAAATTTAGTATCAACTGGTAAAGCAGAAGGAAATAATATTGGGTAAAAATGAATAATTCATGTAAACACTGTCAAGTCTAGTACTTTCCTAGCAAATGTCTTTCTAACTAAATAAACTAGATTAAATCTTAGCTATTGAGTGTTTTCCTATTATTTGAAGAAAGAAGCGTATAATTTGCAAAATAATAAAACTTTTTACTTAAAAAAAAGGAAGCGTCTACTGGCTGTCTTGCAGGAGATTCTTATTCTACCCACTACTTCAACATCACTTGTATCTTCACTTGTGGAGCGATTGCTCAGCATGATTAAGGATGATGACCAGAGAATTCAGACTGTAAGTAGTTTCTTGTGTTTCTAGGCCATGTGAGATACAGCCTTGACAAAGTATTGTAATAGGAGTGGTATTAACCACTGTAGTGATGTTTGCAAAAATATGCTGTTCTGATCCTCTCTTCCAGCCAAGTCTCATTTCCCCATCCACCTTAAGATATGTGAACTCTGCAATTAAATAAACTGTGTGCACACCCACGTTCTAGGATATGTAGTTTCTGAATATTGATGATTGGGTGTGTGTTTTTGTTTTTGTTTTTTTTTAAATGGAAACAGTGGCTACCTTTCACAAACTGCAATATTTGTCTCCTAGCTTAGCAAATCTCAAGCAGTTTTGCTCAGAATATTCACAGGCTCTTCTGAAGGAAGGCTATTATCTTCCCACATGTCAGCTCTTTTTTCCCCTTCCATTCTTGGCTGAGAACTTAACAGAAATGGTTGTAAGAATAGTTTTTATAATGGAGAAAATCTATTTTTTTACACTCTACTGAAAAATGAGTTTTTGCTCAAACCTTCCCCTTCCCCCCCCAATCAAACCCAAATTTTTGGACAGAAATGATTTCTGGAAGATATCAGTGGGTGAAACTTTCACAAAAAATGGGTGACTGAAAAGAGGTTTCACTCTAGCTTTAATGTTGGTGCTTAAACGATAATGTTTATTCCATTCTGCTCTCTTGGAATTGTGAGCTGAAGCTGGAGAAGGGTTGGTATAAAATGGATTTGGCACGAGACTTCTGTGGGAGGGAGGAGAATTGATCTTTCTTTGAATTATTATAGTAATAGTCAATTTACGTACGTTTCATCCTGTTCTCTGCTCTGTTAGTGGACTTGGCTACTGAGAAGTGGCCTCCAGTTTCACTTGTGAAATTAATTTGACACATACTACAATTTAGATACATTCCTGTGCATAGAAACAGATAAGTATGACAGACATCTAAATATTATATGCACTGTCAATTGTACGTGCAAAACTGGAGGCAGTTAAGGAAAAAAAAATCAACTATGGTCATTTAACTTTTGCAAAGGCTCAGATGTTATTGAGGAAACAAATCTTAATGCCTTGGACGTTGATACCTTCCACTTCAGCACACAGCTGTCTTTTTACTCTTTATAAAAGCATCAGTCCTTTTTATAGGTTGAACTCTCTAATCTGGCATACTCTGGTCTGACAACATCCATGGTCCAGCATGATTTTAGTTAGCTGGATGTCCTCTGATCGTGGGTGTGGCCAACTTTCCTGCAGTCCCATAAAGTTGGTTTACAGACCTGGACCGCCTGCGGAGAGGGGCCCCTGGCTGCCACTGACAGAGGCTGCTCTGTGGGATGCTGAGGCGGCAGTGTGGGGAAAGGGAGTACGCAGCACCCTGGACTGGAGTAGGTGGCACCCCGGAGCCAGTGCTGAAGGGAACTGGCTTTTAAAGTGGGCCCCCTCCCCTCCGCACCAGCTCCTGCTTCTGCTCCTCCCCTTAGCTGCCTCTGATACAGTGGCAGTGGGGGGCATGGAGAAATTCTAATAGTTGATTAGATTAACTGATTAATGGATAAGCCTAGGCTTATCAACTTGTTCAATATTTGTTCACATCCCTATTCGTTGCCAGTCAGGTCCTGAGGACTAGAGAGGTTCAACCTGTATTACATTTCCATACTCGGGTAGCCACCAGGAAATTCTAGACCTCTTCCATGGCAGGGCAGTGTATTGGCAAAAATGGTCACTAATCTTTTTGGAATTTGTTGTTGTAGTTTTTATCTACTAATGATATCTAATGAAAGCTCATGATTTTTGTAGAAGATGCATTTTTTTTTTTTAATATTGAATGTCCAGGAATATATATCTATAGGATCTGAGATTCATACCAGTGACAAGCTGTGTTAATAGCAGTAACTTTTGTCTCTTTTATATTAGGTTGCAGAAATTATCTCAGAGGTCCGTGAGCCCATTGTTTCAGTTGACACTCCTGTAGATGCAGCTGCAATAAGAAAGCAACAACTTAAGGTAAGTGAATTTTAGATAACTTACAATGGCTATTTAAATGTGTGTATTTTTACAGACAGCACACTTATATAAAAAGTGCTACTTACTAGCTGATTTAGATATTTTAGCATTAATTTTGCAGATAATAAAATCATTTACAATGTTGCCACTTATATTTTCTGTGTATTTAAGCTGGCTGAAATAAAAGTGAAACTTCTGGAAACAAAAGAGGCTTTGGAGGAATGTATTACTCTGCAGGATTTTAATCGTGCATTGGTATTAAAAGAGAAAATAACAGAGCTGGAATGCATCAAGAGTGATCTGATAAAAGAAGCAGAACAGCCTGAAATCAAAGAAATGCGTGTGGAGAAGGTTCTGCTTCCTTTCATTCTTCTCTCCCCTAAGTACTGGTTATGTCTTGATATCGGTGATATTTTGATCCACTTTGGTTTTCAACTAACTGTTGAACAAGCTTGTGCCTTATTTAAATTTCTTTGAAGATGTTAGCGGGCATATAATTGTTCTTCATGCAGTTGTCAGTGGTTTGCATTTACATTTCAAATGTAAATTATAATGTTCTCTATCAAATTCTTTACAATATAAATGTTGTTTTGTGCAGTTTATGGACTTTGAGGATATAATTCAACCTCTTAAAAAGGGGTTTTATCTTATCTAAGTGTTCTTAGCCTTAAGTGACAATTAATAACAGGTGAACCACTAATTCATGTAACCATAATTCTTTATCATTTTCAGTACTGTAGGTGAATATAGCGTTCTTTGAGAATATAGTGTGAAGAGAACATTTTACTTGCACAGAAAAGGCAAAAATGATCTTTTGTTTATTCTCTCATTTTTAATAAAAAAAAATATTTTTCTCCTCTTAAAGAATGATCCAGAAACACTACTGAAGTGTTTACTGATATGTTTCGAACTCCTCAAGCAGATGTCCTTTTCTAAAGGAATAGGCCCAACCATGAATGGGATCATTGAGTCGTTGGTAAGTGGCAATAAGGAGTGCAGTTTTAAAAGATAGAAAATAGAAAAACTGAAATGGAAAATGAAATGAAAAATAAAAACAATAAATATTGTAGAAAATTGCATTTTTGTAATGCACCTTCACCTTAAATTTCCTGTAATTGTCAATTTCTTGTTATATGAATATGGATGTCTCAATCTTCTCTATCAACATCTCAGTGTGAGGTGTGTGTGTGTGTGTGTGTGTGTGTGTGTGTGTGTGTGTGTGAGATGTATTCTAGTATTCCTTTGAACTAATTTAAAATCATTCTTGGTATTAATGCAGTTTTGGTTAGTTAAACATGTTGGTGCTTATTCTGATGCATGTAAACTTCATCTTCAATCAACTAAATTGCCAGCCAGAAGCACTTAAGCTACAGGAAAAGTTTAACACTATGGACCTTAACTACTGCATTTATTCTGTTCCTAGTGTCGTTGTCTTTTTTTATGGGAGTGTCATATCAGTAATGCTTTTACGCTTCTTAGTTACTTTTATCTATATGTATAGAATCAAAGCAGAGTCCCTCCCTCCCCCCCATAGCATTAATGTTACAGCTTCCAAGCCACTCCTATGCTGAAAGAAGCTGAGATGTGTTTCTGCAACCCTGTGTCAAGATGAGTGCTGAGATCCCTTGGGCTTCAACTTCCAAAGGGATTTATTACAACATTTTTACTGAAAAACCAATTACAATAAACTTCTGATAATATGGCACCTTTAGGACCCAGGGGGTGCCGGATTATCAGATATGCCGGACTATCGGAAGGGGGGACTATGAGGGGTCTGGCGTGGCATCCCCTCCACCCCACGCCAGACCCCTCATAGCCCCCCCCTTCCGATAGTCCGGCTCTGCCCCAGGCATCCCCGATTCAGCCGCTGCTGGTCAGTTTCAGCAGCTGCTGAATCGGGGAAGCCGGGCGCAGAGCAGCTCCAATTGTCCAGCTGCCCAGAGCACTTCCGGATTCCCAATGATGCCGGACCATCAGGAGTGCCGGAGCATTGGATGCTGGACCAATGGAGTTTTACTGTATGTCTTGCTCCCATTTCAGGGAAGCCTGTAAATGCTCAACCAATGTAGTAGCTGACCTTAAGATGGCCAAAGCTGAGCACTCAGTTGATGTAGGCCCTTATGCTTATGTTGATGAGAGATACTATGTTCTTTTTTTCCTCATGTTATTAAAATTACTGAAGATTTATATAGAGTAAAATGATTCTGTGTTAAGGAAAATGTGGGAAGCAATTTCAGACTTACAGAATCTTTCTTGCAAGATCTGTTGCTCAACCCTAGTAGTTTCAATTACGGGATTTCATGTTGATCTCGAACTGTGGATTACCTGAAGTCTATTGATCTTCAGCCTTTACCTGTCATTCTGATCACAAAAACGATCAATCTGGAAGGAATAAATCGCATTGGACCAATAGTCATGCAACAGAAACTGGTGGTGTTTGGTAGCTGTTCTGTCCTTCCATCTGTCCAGAGTATTCTTTTACACAATGGTCTTTTTTTAGAGTTATGACCATTAAATATGGACAGTAAGTCAGTATAGTGAGCCATAGAATACTAGAACTGGAAGGGACTTTGAAAGAACATCAAGTCCAGACCCCTGCTCTCACAGCAGGATCAAGCACTGTCTGGATCATCCCTGATATATGTCTGTCCATGTAATTTCTCTAGTCTGGTGGGTTTTTATTGTCAAGGGTTGTCAAGCAGTTAGAAAGTTAATCATGATTAATCACACCATTAATCATGCTGTCAAACAATAAAAGAATATCATTTATTTACATATTTTAAGTGTTTTTTACATTTTAAAATATATTTATTTTAACTACAACACAGAATACAAAGTGTATAGTGCTAACTCTATACTTCTATTACAAATATTTGCACTGTAAAAATCGAGAGACTATTTTTCAGTTCACCTAATACAAGCACTATAGTGTAATCTCTTTATAGTGAAAGTTGAAATTCCAAATGTAGAATTATGTACAAAACCCATTGAATTAAAAAATAAAACAATGTAAGTCCCTAGAGCCTGCATGTCCACTCAGTCCTACTTCTTGTTCAGCTAATAGTTCAAACAAGCTTGTTTACATTTTGTAGGAGAAAATGTTGCCTGCTTCTTGTTAAAGTGTCACCTGAAAGTGAGAACAGATGTTCACATGGCATTTTTGTAGCTTATCTGAAGATATTTGTGCTAGATATGCTTAAGATTCATATGTTACTTCATTCTTCAGCCATCCTTCCAGAGGACATCTATCCATGCTCTTGATGGGGTCTGCTCGATAACAATCCAAAGCAGTATGGATTAGTGCCTGTTCATTTTCATCATTTGAGTCAAATGCCACCATCAGAATATTTATTTTCTTATGGGGGGAGGGGTCGGAGGTTGGGCTCTGTAGTTTCCACATCAAAATGTTGGCCTTTTAAGACTATGGACAGCATGTTCTATACCTTGTTCATCTTGAAGTACTATAGCTATCTTTGGAAATCTCACATTGGTACCTTGTTGGTGTTTTGTCAAACCTGCAGTGAAAGTGTTCTTAAAGAGAACATGTGCTGGGTCATCATCCAGGACTGCTATTTGAAATACATGTCAGGGGCCTGGACTTGACCTCTCAAGGTTCCTTCCAGTTCTAGGATTCTGTGATCCTGTTGTGGTTTCCCCACTTTTATAGAAGACATACAGTTCTCCCCCAAGTAGTTTAGTCACAAATTTAATTAATGCATTATATGTTTAACTAGCATCATCAGCATGGAAGCATGTTTTCTGGAATGGTGGCTGAAGCATGAAGGGGAATGTACGTACCTTGCAATACTGGCAACAAAAGTGCTATGGAAAGGTGTTCTTACTTAGGGTACATCTAGACTACATGCCTCTGTTGCCAGAGGCATGTAGATTAGGCTACCAGACATAGTAAAATGAAGTGGCGATTTAAATAATCGCCGCTTCATTTAAATTTACATGGCTGCTGCGCTGAGCTGACAAACAGCTGATCAGCTGTTTGTCGGCTCAGCGCAATAGTCTGGACGCGCGGTTGTCGACATCAAAGGTATTTGTCGACCACCCAGGTAAGCCTCCTGGGATGAGGTTTACCTGGGTGGTCGACAAATACCTTTGCTCAGCACGGCAGCCATGTAAATTTAAATGAAGCGGCGATTATTTAAATCGCCACTTCATTTTACTATGTCTGGTAGCCTAATCTACATGCCTCTGTCGCCAGAGGCATGTAGTCTAGACGTACCCTTATTTACAATATAGCCTCACAGTGAAAAGTATTCTCTCGTATAAATGTAAACAAATTTGGTAAGGCAATCTTAAGAATAACAAGAAGTAGGACTGAATGGAATTGTAGGCTCTAAAGTTTTACATTTTGTTTTTGAGTGCAGTTATGTAATAAAAAAATCCTTATTTGTAAATTGCACTCTCGCAATACAGATTACATGTATGAGGTGAACTGAAAAATACTGTTCATATTTATTGTTTTTTGCAGTGCAAATGTTTGTAGTAAATGCTTATATAGAGTACTATATATTTTGTATTCTGTGTTGTAACTGAAATTAATATATTGATGGAAAAACTTCCACAAACATTTAATAAATTTCAATTGGTACTTAAGAGGTCAATTCAAATTGCAATTAAAAAAAAAATCACAAAAATTAAATGTGATTGAGTTAAATGTTATGAGTTAAATGAAAATAATTGACAGCCTTAGTTTTTATTAAAGTTAGCAGTTTCTTGTTCAGTGTCTTCTGTGTACCCATAAGTGATTGCTCCCACTCTTTTGCACTGTTTGCAAACACAGGATTTCTTAATGTTTTATTGTGTGAAAGTTCAAGCCATTTTTCTAGGGTTGTTCATCCCGTTGTAATTATAATTACATGAGGTAGGCATCAAAAGTAAGGTAAATGAGTAGTCACTATGCTCTCCTATTCAGTCATTTGAGTTCCTTGTAGCAGGGCTGGTGTGTGCTTCTGTAACCCAAGCTGTAGAGTCTCCTACACTAAGCTCCAGAGGTCCCAGGTTCTGTTCTGCCTACAGGCGATTGCACTTGCAAGTGTATTTTGTGAGAGAGAGAGACCAGGTGATGTGTGTGATTATGTGGATTCACTTGATATTCTCTCGAGCCGCATGAGGAGCTTTGCTTAAAGCAGAGTGTCCCAACCTGTGGGTCAGGACCAAAATATGGGTCGCCATTAAATTTCTAAAGGGTCGCCAAGTGTCTCCCCAGGTTGCTCTGCCCCCTTCCTCTCTCCGTTTTTGAATTGCCTTGGGTCCCCAAGTCTTTCTGAATTGTCTCCATCTGGAAAAGGTTTGGAACCGCTGGCTTAAAGAAATGCGGCTCTTGCTAGTTCTGAGCCGCGCGTTTGGACTGCTCATGGCCGGCCACTCTGCACACGTGCCTAAGCGCATGATTACGATTGGCCATTCTGCTCATGCACCCCAATCCTTGGTGGGAGAAGCACATGGCGGCAGCTCCAGGATCCAGACCTCTGAGGGGTTGGAGGGGTAGTCTGGGAGTGCCTGGCTGAAGCACCTTAAACTCAAAGTCTTCAGGGCTGCAGAGTAAGACGGCCAACACAGATATCATATTTAAATTCCAGGGCGCGGTGAAGGGGGACATCAGCATGTACCTGGTTACACTGTGTTTTTTAAAGAAAATGCAAAGGCTATACTGTTTGCCAGGTTGAAGCAATTATTCTGAGATATGTGTCTCTCCCTTATGGTTTTTGAACCTGTCATATTTGCAGTCTAGAAAAGACCTGAATGTTTAGAACTATAAAAAAGCCATAACCTTCATAAAGTGTGTGTGTGTGTGTGTGTGTGTGTGTGTGTGTGTGTGTGTGTGTGTGTACGAACCATATTGTGCTAATGTACTTCTCAGTCCAGCTTAATTTTAAAAAACTCACAGGACATAATAGGTCAGTAGTGTTAAATTTAAAATACATGGTGGGGATGCTTTTTTGTGGGAGAATATTACTGTATTTTATAGGATTTTTTTTTTTTAAAATTTGATATTTGGTCCTTGTCAAGTTCTCTGAAGATCTATGGACTGGCTGTGAATTTAAGTGACTAGAGACTTTTTTTTATTGGTTTTTGTCCTAACTGTCCTGTAATGTTGGTTTTTATCACTACACTTCGTGAATTCTAACTATATGTCTAAGAATAAATATGAACTTATATGAGTCAATTGTTAAGCAATATTTCCCCTTCTAGTATAGACTCCATTTATCTAGGTTTAATCTCAAGTGGCTTTCTGAACACTTTGTCTTCAATTAGCAATGGAATAGTCTTACTTCTTGATTGACTCACTCATTGGGTACAAAAGTACATGTGAATAAGTTACACATAGGTCACTTAATATTTACTTTCTAATAACTTATTTTCCAACATGAGCTACAAGTATTTCTTGTCCCAATGTGTATATTTTAATCACAAAGAATCACATTTTTATTTTTAAGATACTTCCTGGAGTAACTAATATTCACCCAGCTGTACGAAATATGGCCGTTTTGTGTTTGGGTTGCTGTGCCCTGCAGAACAAAGACTTTGCCAGTCAACACCTTGCATTGTTGTTACAGGTAAAAACTTCTTAGCTAATCAACACAATTCTTATCTAGGGATGTGAAAGGTTAACAGGTAGGGGCTGGAGCAGCTCCCCACCCACTGTGGTGTGGACTGTTCTAGCCCCATAGGGCCCATCACAGGCAGGGGCTAGGTGTAAACTCCTCAAACTTTGGAACAGTATAAAAAAGCAACCCAAGTTTAAATATTAATCCAAATTTAGAATAAAATCTGATGTTGAACTATAAAAGAATATCTATTCAGCTCAAGCTATGCAATCAGCCTATTTCATGAAGTCCAAAACCGTGCAGCACTATTACAATTGTTTCAAGCAGGGATGTTGTCATGATCCTAATGGAAGACCTTATCCCATGGTTCTCAGGCTCTCTGGTTCAGGAGCATCTATGGTCCTGCCAAACCAGGGGTATTGCAGGACTAGAGAGTGCCGGATATTGGAGGTACAATCCGCATATGCATGTGGTTTATGTCCACCTCTGCCACATACACTTGACTTCCTCTGATAGTTCTAACACCTCTCTGTTTTCCTCACCTGTGAAATGGAGTCCTTCTTCAGTGTTAAGCTTCTCAGCAATTTCTAAACTCATAATATTTATGTCTTTGTCCTGTTAGTTCTATCTTGGGTATTATTTAGAAAAGAAAGGGGTCTTGATAGTTCTAGGTCTACTCAGTATTTTTTTTTCTAAACGCAAGTTGCATATGTCCACAGCATGGAAAATGCTTATAGTTGTGGCTCTTCTTTTGGCCAGTTGACTCTAGAGTAAAATGGACAACAGCAGATGAGTTTCTTAAACCACTATCACATTCTTGCGTATTTGCATTGTAGTAGCATCCAAAGGCCCTCATCAAAATAAATGATCATTGTATTAGGTAGGACAATATTGTCACTGACCCAGAGAACTTATGATACAATTTTCAAAAGCCTAAATCCCATTGACTTTCAATGAGACTTAGACTTTAAGTCACTCTAGAAAATGGAGCTTAAGGAGAAGTCACCTTTGAAAATGTCTTTCAGATTAGACTAATTTATGCAATTTGAATTTATTACTCTCCCCCCTGTCTTTATATCCCATTGTTTGCTACAGTCGTCTTGTGTCTTCTTTCAAAATAGACATTGAACTCTTTATTGAGTAGTGCTCAGCACAGTTTGGTCCTGGTTATGTTTTGGGCCTTTTGGAGTTAGCAAATTCCAAATGAGTTTGATTTTTATTATTACTTGCTTCCAAATTAGACATAATAAGGCAGTAAGAATACATGGGATAAGGTCTTCTATTAGGATTATGATTTCCCTGATAGAAACAACTATAAATCATGCAATGCTGGTTTGGACTTCATAAAGTAGGCCGATTGCATAGCTGGAGCTGAATGGATATTCTTTTATAGTTTACATCAGATTTTATTTTAAATTTGGATTCATATTTGAGCTTAGATTGCTTTTTCATACTGTTCTAAAGTTTGAGGAGTTTCCACCTAACTTTGGTGGATTGCTGTCTAATCTTTGGGTAAACTCAGTCACTGATTTAGGAATTAAATAATGTCAGTTTTTCATTTTAACACACCATAATTGAATGATGTACCACAGAACTTCCTCCCTTCCTAGGTTTTACAAATTGATGACATTAAGGTGAAGTTAAGTGCTTTAAAGGCAATCTTTGACCAGCTGATGATGTTTGGGATAGAAACATTCAAAACAAAAAGAGTCAGTGATTCTCACAGTGAAAAAATAGAGATTAGAAGCAGAGATTGTGAAGAAGAGGAGACTAAAATAAAAGATTTGGAAGACGAGACTGCCACTGTTCACAACCTTCTGCACCTCCTTTCTAGTTTCTTAGACAGTGAGGTAAGTCATTTATAAAATGCCATCAGTCTGCTCTTATACATCTTTTTTTTGTTTTTGTTTAAAAAATTGTATACGATTGTACGTAAGAGAGCTTTTCCCCCCTAAACCACTTGTATGTTTATATTCTTGGGTCGGATGACCAGTGTTCAGGAACTGCTTATAGATTTAAGCTTGTATGAAAATTACTGCTGAATGGAAGTCTGTAAATAGGGCTGCTGTTCTGCAGTGGTTTCTTTAGAAAACCCCATAACAATGGTGGAAATGTCAGACATTTCTTTATGGCCCAGAGTGCTTTATTTTCTCATTTAACATCATTTGGTATAGAACTTAAGGTGGTACAATTGGCATAGCTCTAGTATTATTAACTAGAACAAGTTATGATGTGATAACAAGGATAACAGTGTGAATACCAGGACAGATTTATTTAAAAGCTCCTTCGTTCCATTTTTAATCGGCTCGCTTTGCTTTGCAAGAGAAGGCAATTACTTTGCCTTTGGAGGAATTAAAACGGCTATTAAAACTGCTAAGTCTAGTTTTTGTGGAGTCGTATTCTGTTCCTGTTCTCTGCTACTCTTCCACATAACTCATGGCACTAAGTAGGCATCTCCCCCACGTTTTCAGTGGTATTGTTTCAGTTACAATTACATGCACTCCACACATGCAGGCATCCAAAAACATTATGTTGTGATGTTTTTAAAGAAAAAAATGCTTGTGTGCATGCCTTCTGATGGATTTTATTCCTCATTATTATTCTGTTATATCAAATTTTTGTTCTTCTACATGAAAATGATGGACTACAAGCATGTACAAATGAAGTTAAGGAAAAAAATAAAGATAGGACTGTGATTCACTGTAGAGAAATGTAAAATCATGGTAATTGGAACATGGATTTAAGCCTCAAAATTAACAATCAAGAGCTAGAGAGGGTAGATTGATTCAAATGTCTTAGAAGCACAATAAGCCAAGATGCTCTGAGGAAAAAAGAATAAGGATTGGCTAAGTGAATGCAGCCTGGTGTAAATTTTGGAATCTTGATACCATATCCTTATATACAAAACAAAGTGTCTACTCAGCTGTTATAGCCATAGTAACATATGGCAGTGAAATCTGGCAACTCAACATACGTTTAATCATAAGTGCTCGGTGGGGAGAACATTAGGAGTAAGTTATGAGGAAAGAAAAATGAAGGATGAGGTCAGAAAAAAAAAAAAGCAAGATCTCTATTGCAAATAATTTGTAAGAAGACATTCATGACTAGGGCATGTATTCTGAATGGATCATTACTGACTAATGATTATGGCTCTCTTGTTGGATTTTCTGGCTTCCACCTGAGAGAGGGGTAGACCTAAGATGACTTGGATGTGTACGACTATCTATGACATTGAAAAAATTAATTTGATATCGGAAGACTTGGGCCAAAAGGCAGCTGATAAGCAAGCATGGAGAATGTGGGTAGCCCAATGTGCTGAAAAGCATAGTATGGACTAAGGTCTACATTCTATATTAAATTTTCATTAAGCTACTTCTGGATTTTGGCTGCCTTGTATGATTGGTCTTTTCACCATGAAAACCTTCTTGTGTATATAGTCTTAGGATAAATATATTTGGACTTGTTTTCAAAACAGGCTGCTACTTTGGGTCTTCCTTCATGTAGGAAATAACTCGTACTTCTTGAAATTCTGCATAATTTTGATGAGGGCAAATGTGAAGGCTCATCAGTGATTTTGAACGAAATGAGAAATTGATGCAAACTACTAGTTTCTGAATGTTTGGCAACTTCCAAAGAAATATAACTAACTGCATCCCCAGCCTTGTTAAAACTGTCAGTCCTCCATGGCTTTTATATCTGTAAAAGAAAAATGAAATAGCAGGATTGTTTTAGCAAAGTTGTGTATTCTATAATCCATTTTTTTTCATTGGTGAGGAAAGAATATTCTTTTCATTCTCAACTGGGTTGGAAATAAATTGATAGCTATGATGGGTTTTTTTCCCAGTATGTTAACTTTAGGTTTCTTGATAGAGATTTGAGGCACCTGAACTCTGTTAGCATGGATTTGGGTATCATTCAATTAACATTTAGAGTAACTTTTGTTTGTAGTATGCTACTTTAAGAGTTTTACTGGCATTAAAGATGCAACTCTAAGCTTGAATTTAAATCTTCAGCGTAGTCATAGATATAAGATTGGTCTTTACTTTCCAATTAACTGATGTATGTCATTTAAAGGACTGCATTTTTCTCTAATCAAACCTTTCTTTACTTAAGTATTCTGAACTCAGGACAGAAGCTGCAGAGGGTCTGGCCAAGTTGATGTTCTCTGGGAGGTTAATTAGTGCCAAACTTCTTTCTCGTCTTGTTTTGTTGTGGTATAATCCAGTAACAGAAGAGGATACTCGACTTAGACATTGTCTGGGAGTTTTCTTCCCTTTATTTGCTTATGCAAATAGGTATGACAATTTAAAAACACTTTATGTTGAAAGCATGTATTTTTTTTTCCCTTTCTTTGCTACATTGTAATTTTTAGCTGGTTTTGTTCTTAAGATTTACACAACACAACTGATACAACAGCCTGAGAAAGTAAGGCCAGCTGTCAAACCTGAGTGTTTTTAAAATTAGACACCTAAATAAGTGGCCTAATTTTTCAGGTCTGAGAGCCAGGCTGTTCTAAGTGTTTGGCAGCTATGTAGAGCCGTGGTCACCAACAGGTCAATCGCGAGCTGCTGGTCGATCTCGAGGCCTCGACCAGTCACTCGCGAGGCGTCCTGTCCCCCCCCCTTTTCTTCCCACCCCCCCAGAAGCCCCACTACTTACCTCAAGAGAAAACGGAGGTAGTGTGGGCTTCAGAAGTCCCGCAGCTTAGCGCCACTTCCGGCAATTCCAGAAGTGCGCTAACTGCTCTGCCAGCCCCCTGCACCGCACAGGAGGGGTGAGTCAGCCCTGCGGGAGGCACGCAGGGGGGTTGGCCCTGGGGCAGACGTTTGCGTGGGGCTTCCCTGCGCAGGGGGAGGGGGGGTCGGCCCCCCGGGGCAGACGCGCACACGGGGCTTCCCTGCAAAGGGGGTGCTGGCCCCGGGGCAGGCACACGCTCGTTTCCCGGGGGGGAGAATGCTGGGAGGGGGGAGATGCAGGGGACTCTCTGCCTCCACTGGCACCCTACTCACCAGTCCCCACTCCCGAGCCACAGAATGCTGTCCCCACTCCTCTGGCCCCAGCCACAGAATGCTGTCCCCACTCCTTTGGCCCCAGCCACAGAACTCTGTCCCCTCTGGCACCCTGTCCCCTGCTGCAGTACTCTGTCCCCACAAAATGTATAATTATAAATGCTTCATTTTAGATTTAAATAGCATGAATCAAAAACAGACCATTTATTTCATAACTATAAACACGTGATTTTAATTGTATGTATCGCATAATTTAAAAATAAACTGTTGATCGGAGTGTGTAAGTAAGGGCTGGGGATAGCAAGTAATGGACAGGAGGAGAATAGAGAGGGCGGGGCTTCAAGGAAGGGGCGGGGCGGTAGATCTTCGCCTGTTCTGAGATTTAAAAAGTGATCTTGGGTGTAAAAAGGTTGGAGACCACTGATGTAGAGGAAACTGTTAGTCTCCTGTCTAAAAAATTAAATTAGCAGATGTAGGGTTTTCAATGCAAGGAAGTACATTAGCATTGCGCTCCTATGGGTGAACCTTCTCTAAATGTCACAATAACACAGTATACTAATAAATATATTAAAAGTAGTATTGCCTTTTGAAGCCATAACACAGTATACTGTGGTGACTCTAGAAGGCAAAATATTGTCCTTGACTTGGTAAGTTATGCAATAAGTATGCTAATGTACTTCCTTTTGAAGCCACTCCTCCTTCCTGCATTTGGAGAGCTTCAAACTGGATTCTTGAGGGACTAACAAAGAAAGGACTGTTGGATAAATACAGTAGAGTCCCAATTATCTGACCTAAATGGGACCGACATGTGGTCGGATTACCGAATATGTCGGATAATAGGGACTCTACTGTAGTCTGGCCCCATCCCTGCCTGCCCCTTCCCTCCCTGCAGCTCCCTGGCGCTCGGCCTTGCTTGCTGCCCCGTAGCTCTCCTGGAGCCGCTGATGCCTGCAGCTCCCGCGGATGAAGCGGTGCCAGAAGGAGCGGCTTTCAGAAGCCCCCAAGAGGCAC